CTATTCTTTTTTTTACATGACAACTTTTTAATATTAAAAAAAGAAAGAAAGAAATTATATTGTTTTGTGGTGTCTTTTGTTTTATGCAATTCAAGTATGGCAATGTTGAGGTTTTTCTTCTTCTTTTTCTTGCTGCTGCCGCTGTTGTTGGAAGGCTAAAGTGGGCAGTTGCCTCGAAAAGGAGTAAAAGATGAAATGAAATTCAAATGGAATTATGCGGACATAAAGACCGACCGAAATTGCCATAAAACAATGCTGCAGCAATGAAAGTAAATTATGTTAAGTAGAACTTAATCCTTTGAAGTGTCTGGAATGTGACTTTCTTTTAATGGGCCAAAGACCAAAAGGGATTGTGAGGGAAAGGGCAAAAAGTGAGCGATTGCCATTATGGGGTTGAATGAATTCTTCAACATCATTTTGGGGACATTATGTTTAATGCAGGATAATTGGGCAAAAAGGGCCATTGAAGATGTGGGCCATAAAAATAATATTAGTAAGGGGAAAATACAACAAAATTTAGACAATTTACTGTGTGTCAGGATAAATGTACTGGTCAAAGTAACTACATGGATTTAAAGGATCTTAAATTAATACTAAAATTGGGTAGTTTCCTGTTCGTCGTCGTTTTATAATTCTCAAATCGGAAGTTGTAATGCATAGAAATGCAACTTCTCATTTAATATTCCACATCTGTTAAACTTCGAGCATATACAAATTCTAGTCAACGATTTTTAAAATCATCTTCTCTTTTTTTCTTGGAAAACATTGAATGAGAACCGCAAATATATTTTCAATTATTTCTCATTAAATTATTCCCTACTCGCCTTTCCCTCCCAGTTCATCTTTAATTGAAACGAATTAGGTATTTCCCGTTTTCCTTCTAAATGTGGCGTGAACAAAAACCGAATCATAGAAGTGAGGTGTCAGGCAACCGCACGACTTGAGTATCATTGAAAATTATCACCACTCCTCCTCGCGCTCTCTCTCTCTCTCTCCCTGTCTCTCCCACAATCCCCCAGCATTTTTTGACATTACCATTTAACACACATTTAATATGAAGTATCATTAACTTAAATGTTTCATATGCTGCATGGCACTTTGTCGTTCTCCTGCAACCCCCCACCTACCCCAATTGCTTCTCATACTCTCTGTCTGTCGATCGCCTACACCACACATTCGGTTTTATTGCAAAACCAAAATCCCGTAAATGGATCGAAAGAAGAACAACAACAAACATAACAAACGAAAAGCCTAGCACAACAGATGACGGTCGTCATCGCCGTCGTCGTCTGCGCCAAATGTGAAACCAAGGCAATTGAGCAGCCAACGACCAAACCACTGGCATGAGAAGAGACAGACTAGGCCTCGCACCAAGTGACAGCATCCAAGAAGACAATGACAACGTCAAACAGAGACAACGAAGGCTCTCAGTAAGAAATTGACAAACAAGAAAACTAAGACAGACATACGCGATAGCTCAAGAGAAGCAATTTAAATTGTACTCGAAACGAACAGAATAGAATTGATAAATGTTTGAAAAAAATGTAGACAAAGAAATGCAACCATTTTGCTTGAATTGAAATTAGGAGAGCTGGATGAGGCAGAAGTAGGAGTGCCAAGTTGGGAATGACGTTTGAGGTGTTTGCATGAAGTTCTTTGGCGACCAAAGTATGATGCTTTTCTTAAAAAAAAAAACAAAATGAATTGTTTTATACAATTTACTCAAAAATTGTAATTTTTTATATCAGAAGTCATTTGGAATGTTTCAGAAGTTTTCGGACTGATACATAACTTCTGGATTTGACTATTTAGTTATACAGGGTGAGATAAAAAAAACTGCAACAAAGTCGAACGCCATAATTTTTACATTTTTTTTTTTAAATTTTATTAAATGAGCAAAAATGTCGGAAATAGCATCAATTTTAGATTAAGTTTAGATTCGTATTGGTCACCTTTGGCACGAATTATTCCCGGCGAAGCGCTTGCTTGAGGTGATCGACACCTTGGTATTTCTTAGTGCCAACCTTGTTTTCCAAAATACTCCAGACACATAAGTCCGAAGGATTGGTATCCGTAGATTTTGGTCGCTATTGTGCTCTGGAAATGAAGCGAGGAACCTCATTTTGTAACCATTCTTGAGTGGTGCGTGCTAAGTACGATAGTGCTGAGTCCTGTTGGAAGGCCCAAGGTTGCTGCCAAAATCTTTGCGTGCCCTAGGCTTTAATACACCCTCCAGAATATTTTCGCGATAATATTCGACATTTATTCTGATGCCACGAGTGGATAGCGACCATCGGCTGTTATGGCAGCCCAAACCATCACCATGGCCGGCGCTTGAGTTCTGGTGACCAACCGAAGGTGCACATTTTCAGCTTTACAAACTACTGGACAACGAATGTTTTCTCATCGGAGAAAACCAAATTCGGCAGTTCACCACTTTCGGCCAAGCAAAGCAACTTTTTAGCTCTTTTGAGTATATTTTCTTTCAGTTGCTGTGTAAGTCCTTGCACTTTTTGGAATTTCAATGGGTTTACCCCGAGCTCATTTTTCAATATCTGCCGAATGCAATATTGCGATTTGTTCAGCTCACGAGCCATTTTTCGGTCACTGCGACGTCGATCAAGTCGCTTCTTTACTTTTCGAACCATTTCTGCTGATGTTATTGTTTTCTTTTGTCCACTTCCTTGACGTCGGGCTACGCTACTAGTATCACGGTAAGGAGCGATGGTACGAGACACAAAAGATTTATTCACATTTAAATGCTGGAGTGCTCTAACGATAGCCTCTTGCGGTTTTCCAGCCAAATATAAATAAATCACGCTATCACCCCGGAATTCCATCACGAATAACTTTTTTTCAGGAAAATTCTCACCAGAATGCTTTTGTATGCTTGTAAACAATATAATGAGCTGTCATTGAAATAATAATAAACAGCTGCCGGACGAGTGGCTTAGAAATGACAGCGGTCTGAAATTGGTTGTTGGTTTTTTCATCTCACCCAGTATATGCAGAACCAATCGTACATCCCTCAAATAACGGTTTTCCTTGAGCGGTATTTTTCGACGGAATTTTTTGGATAATTTTCATGTTCCTTTGAAATGGTGGAGGGTATTAGAGGCCAGACTTAGCTGCTTTTTTAATTGTTTTATTTTATTATTATTTTTTTTTTGTTTTATCTTACTTATATTTTGCTAATGCTTTTCATTTTTGCATCCAACATTTTATTAGCGTTCATTCTGAAGTGATCTGGAAAATGTATATGCGAATTATACATAACCAACATATATTGCTTTTCAGTTGATTGGATGTTAAGCATATTATTTGTCCTTGTTTTAACCACAATTTATGATAGACAAACCTTTTCAAACAGGGAAGGAGAAATGAGAGCACTAGTGTCGAAGTAAATCAGAAAACAATTTTGAAGTATATATATATAAAAAATTATATTTTTTAAAAATACCGGTTTTGAGCACAAGAAACATTAAAAAATAAATTATGAGCGGAATAAAAAATAAAATAAAATTGTCCACAGAAAAACCTAGGTTAGGTTAAGAAAAACCGAGGATTGCTGACTACTTTGCAATAAGAGAAAACTTTTTCAATATATCTGGCCAAAAAGTTATAGAACATTCCACCATCAGCCACTCTCATTGCTTTTTACTTTGTGTAATAGGGCAATTGCCCTCCATTTTGTTAAATCTTAAATCTTTCTAAATTTCATATAGTTCCCGATTTTTCTGGGAATCATTTTTAAAATTGGCACCCCTAGTGAATTGTTATTCGGGAACAAGAGAAAGAAGAGATACTCCTTAAACATGTGGACTTGGTTTGGGGGGATTGTTAGACATTTCTTCTATCTCCACCACCGCCCCACCCCAATTTACATTGCCGTCCCTGAAAACAGACGTCATCAAACACAAACACAATACAACCACTTGAAAGACCCCTAAATGAATGACGGGTCACAATTAGAATTGTCGTGGAAGGCAAGGCTAAAGGAGGAAGAATGGGGAGAGGTTGCTTGAGAGGACCTGAAGACATTACTATACACAGTTGGTACTTAAATCCGCTGTGAATGAGAATCAAAAGACGATGATTAAATTGATGGGAAGTTGTAAAGAACAATTGAGTGTTTTATTCTTTGTTTTGCTCATTGTTCGTCCATGCATTTTGCTGTCTGTGTGTGTGTATGTATGGTCTCTTTTAATTGTTGTGTTATTGTTGTCTTCCGTGTTCTGTTCGGTGGTTTTCATGGACAACATGTGACAGCGACGAAGCAACACACACAGCAACAACAGCAACAACAAACATCAAGAATTAAACTTGTCAGATATGCAAGCTGCATTCATTCTTTCAAATCAACTGAAGGAGGAAATGAAAACAGCTTTGGCATTTGGTCTTTGTTGTTTTATTCCTGGTGACTTGGAGAGAGGGGTCTGCGCCCAGGGTGGGTGTGGCCGACCACGGCTCAAATGGTAATAAGCAAAATATGTCATTATTACCGATTAAAATTATTAAATTTTTAACTTATTATAGAAAAGAAAGGATATGTACCACTAACGGAATATTTCTGATTTCTTAAAAAAAAACAATATTTTTTATTTTACAAAAAATATGTAAAGGTCCGAACTTTGCATATGTCAACATTTTTTGAATATACGTATGTAAATTATACATGACTTAAATAGTAAATTTTAAATGATTTTGACCTAAACGATTTTATTTTTCGACCAATATTACTCTGCGTCTGTGCTGCATCAGATAAATATTAAATCCACTATAATTTGGGAGTATTACACAAACATTGACAAATTTATATATTTTTTGATTATAAGTGAATTTTTATCGAGAATCGCTTATTGAAAGCGAACTTGTAAGTTGTGTGATAAAACTCCTTGGATTTTGGTTGATTTTCGAAAGGTATCCGCCCGCAATGTTCTCCTTTATATACAACTCTCACAACATATATTTTTTCTATTTTTCTCCCTCCCCTTCACCAGTTCTAGCTGCCATATCTAGCCATTATTATCATAGTTGTATACGTAAATATTTCGTGCATATTTATGTAAAGTGAAGAAAAAAATGCGTCCGCGTTTATGCAGTACAACAACATGTCAAGTGAATGTCTGTCAGTCACCTCGTCGAATGTAATGTAAACTCAACCGTCCGTCCAAAATCCAACTTACTTTTGTGGTCGTCAGCCAAAGAAATTCCATTAAGCCAAGTGCAGAAAATTCCATTTAATACCCCTTCAAATATTGACACAAAGTGTATCACATTGCCAGCTCTGCCTGCCTGTCTGCGTCCCCCACCTACCGCGTCGATTAACGAAACCTCATCAGCCGGCTGGCTGGCCGAGCAACCTCTACCGGCGATAGATAGTGAAATGCCGTTTAATTGTCAAGGGCCACAGCGGAGAACAGTAGCAGCGCTCAACCACTTCAAAGCCACCTGACTTCGAGCGGGCAGACAGGCCCGTCCTGGTGTTCGGTTCGTTGTTGATACTTCTTATCACAGCGCAAAGTGTGCGTAATTCGTAACAAATTCCGCGAGAATTAATTGAAATTGTTTGCGTGTTTGTTGTTGTTGTATGTGATCAACTCTACACTTGTCGGCGTGTTGGTGTATTTTCATTGCCCGACCCGATTTTTAATTGAAAACAAACACGCAGTCAGTCAGACAGACACTCGTAGACGACGTCGACAACAACGACTACAACGCTAATTAAATAATTTACACCCCAAATTAGTGGTTAATTTTTTCGGTTTTGTGTGTGTGTGTGTATTCGTTTGTGATAGCGTATAGTGCGTGGGAGTGAGTCATAACCTCCTTCCCACACCCATCCAAAGATAAGTTCTCTGCTGCACTATGTCTATGCGCAGCAATAAATTAAATGCGGCGTCAAATTTTGCTCAACAGCAGGCCGGCAACGAGCAGCAATCGCAACAGCAACAACAATTCTTGCCACCACCACAATATCAACAGCAGCAACAACAGTTGCTGGCCCAGTTGCAGCAGCAACACAAATTCCAGCAACAACATCAACAGCTTTCCCAATCGCCACCCACCTCCCAAGCATCGCATCTCATCAACAATAGCCGCAACAACTTAGCCTCTTTGGTGGCAGCCATCAATGCCAATGACCATCATCCATATGGTGGCGGGGGTGTTGTTGGTGGTGGGGGCACCATCAAAGCCACATCTCCCCTAAATCCCCCACCATCGTATTCCGCTGCCATAGCGCAGAATTCACCATTCCAGTACATCAATCATTTTCAGCCGCCATCGAACAATGCCAATGTCACGGACATAAATCCAAATAATAATTCTTTGGTTCTATCCTCGAACTCGGCCATGCCGCATCATGAGTCCGAAGATCCCGAAGATGATCAGCACCAGCAACAACAGCAGCAGCAACAGTTGTGTGTGGTGGCGAAAATGCAAAAATCCGTGACCATAACCGTCACTCCACAGCGCAGCAATTCCATGGATTATCTGAATTTCGAGGAAAAGCGTCAATTGATCGCTTCGTCGCTGTCACTTTCTGATATTCTGCACTGCAATCAGCCGGGAAATGTAAACGAAAACAAAGATCAATTGATTGGTAAGTTGAGTTTAATATTCCACTTAATTAAAAAAAAAAAAAACTAAAATTCTGTTAATTTTCGTGTAAGCACGAAAGCCAAGTTAATTGTCGATCAAAGTTTCGTTACAAATTTTGCACAAGAGTTTCAAAGTTGCAACCGAAATGGATCAATAATTAGGTATAATTAAGACGACTTTCGATTGATTGTCGATTTTTTTTTAATTGTTTTTGAATTTTTAAATAGTACTTTTTTTCGTTGTATTTATACGGAATCTCAAATATCCACAAAATGGATTTATAGTTTTGAATTTTTATTTATTTTTCCTACCAACATCTTGCCCATGAAAAAAAAAAATGAAAAATCCTAGACTGAATTTTCGGACAGAATTCTGTTCTTTTTTTTTCTGAAAACTCTGAAATTAAAATTTTAGAATTGTTGAAAGGAAATTAAAATTGATACCACAACCTCCTTCAGTCATATATCATTTGATGCTGCTAAAACGTGACTCATCGAAATAAAGCTTTTGCACCATCTCTTTGGACCAAGTCCGTTTCAGGACATTTTGAATTGATGTAGGTTTGTCCGTCCGTCTGCCTGGCTAGCTTGTGCGCTCGAAAACTCCCGAAGGGAGCATCCGATTTGATCCAAACTTGGTACATCGTAATATTATTATCAACCCTAGATCGAGTTCGGAGATGGACAATATCGGAAATAAAAAGGACAGGTGCGAAAATGAACAATATCGCTCCACTCCATCAAGTACCTCCCCCACAAGGCGTTACCCTAATTATATCTCTCATTTAATGCGAAATAAGCACCTGATTCTTTTCAAACCCCACAGTTTCCAATATTTTTACTAACACAAAATCTGTTGTTATTATGGTCAAAGGGTCACAATAACTTCCTAAACAAGTCAGTGATACGAGACTAGAGTTTCAATGATAAAAGTTTAAAAGTTGAAAAATCTACATTTTCCTGCAGTAAAATTCAAAGCACAGATATATTAATTTTCACCCTTAAGCAAAACTTTCCCTCGAGCAGGACTGACCGACGATTGGTAGTTTTACTCTTTTGTTTTGTGTGGGAGCACTCCCGAGTCATACATGTTTGAACCATAAGATCGGGAGCAAAATGGCTCATAATAGAGCAAGAGTTTACTCGTTGTCACGAGTATAAAAAAATATTTTGTCTTTTGATTTGTATGTGTGAAACCTCACATAATTTATATATTGGTGTGTAATGTAGAAGAGGGGGGATATTGTACAGAAAAATACAAATACGTAGAAATACAACGACGGCAGGACAAAACCTGAAAGTGTGTTCGGCAAAAGTAGAAACTGCTCGATTTTCAATTAATTTTACTCCCACCGAAAAACGAGTAAAATTGGCTCGCTCATATTCGAGCGACATCAAAATATTAAGTTTGCTCGATTTTTTCTGCTCCCAGGAGCGCTTTCGTTCGAATTCGAGTGAGTTTCACTCTTTGAAGTAATTCGAGTGGGTTTTTCGAAGGTCTGGAAAATTTGACTACGGTTTCTAAACGATTTTTGATTTGAGACCATTTTTAAGTTTCATTACCACCGGAATAGTAGAATACCTTTAAATTACATTTCCATAAATAGATGGGCTTCCGGAGATCTTTTAAAGGTAAACGTATTTTGAGTGTAATTAGAGACAAAGAGCTCTTTTTCATTTGGATGAGTGCACTTGCTGATTAACTGTCTCTTATCAACAGAAGAAAATGTATAAATCGAAATACCATATTTTTCCACGAAGTAAATTTTGACTACCATTTGAAGGTTTTAATTTTCACCCCATAAATAGTCTCTCATATTTTGAGAGAAGAGAGAAGCAAATACGCGGATCGAAATTACTTTGGGTCGAAAATAGATTTAAACTTATTGGACAAAATTGATAGATCGAAATCATAATATGATATTGCGGATCATCCATATTGATTTATGAAGTTTAGGATTTAAAATAAAAAATAAATTCGTCAATAGGTCAAATATGGAAAAGTCGTTGTGGAGATTGTGACCACACGTAAATTTTGGTTTCATCTTGAGAAATGTGATCCATCGAAATATCGAATTTTTCGAACATATTCAATGCTGATATTTAAGGAACTCAAAAACTTCCCCTGATATGTCAGCAGGAGTCTCTAGCTGGAGACGTTACTGCTATACTTCATGTGTGAGATATAAATTAGAGATAACTAACTCGGCTTTTGAGTAATCGACTGTAGGTATTGGGAAGTCTGAAAGTCGAATTTTACTTATAGCAGCATCACAGTAGTATCAAATGGCGATGATGGCATTTTGTCGTTTGCATTCATCGAAACGAATTAAATTCAATTGAAAATAATGGTAAATGTCGTGTCAGTTTTAATTTCAGAAAACTAAAATATATTTCACCGATCTCTCGTCAGACTCACATGTATATGTGCATGTATATTGAAATTGCTTATTTAGTTTTTCTTCATTAGAAATTAATTGCAACGTTGGTTCTTAAATTTTAACTTAACCTGCTGCAGGGACATCAATTGAAGTTCTTAACATAACCGTTGTCAAGAATATATACCTCTTTAGGATCGGTACGGTATTGCCAAAGTCCTTAGTCATCTTTTAGTGCTTTTGCAATATTAAAATCAGATATTAAGAATTAAAAGCTTATTTGCCTTTATTTTCCAATTGTATAATGCCTAGATATACATGTCTATAATTTCATCTAATGCTTTTAAATACTGTTTTCATAGTTCAAATGCTACTTTTTATAATTTTCATGGTCATTTTATTTCGATTGTCATGTTACTCGGCTTACTGTCACTGTCGGGGGGATGACTCATTCCATCGGTATTGGATTGCTGACTGTGGCACGAGTTTGCCAATGTGAGCCGCAGTCATTTGACCGTTACATTTGACGCTCCAATCAAACAGCCATCAATGGGTTATGGCATCACAGTTTGTTGTCTATTATTCGACTGGCGATGAGTCGCATTTGTGGTGGTCACTTGTCGTTCAGTGTATAGCGCATTGGCAACAAGCCGGTAACAATATTTTTTTTTGTTTTCACTTCGATTTAAATTAAAAATTCCAACCATTTCTGGATAGTTTTAAGAATTATATATATCTACTCACGTGCAGGTATGTACCCATCAAACTTTTTTGATTGAAGCACATATATGGAGTGGCTGCTATGTTTAATCTCCGAAACGCGAAAGAAAGCCTTTTAATGTCTTTTCCATTCATTCTCAAAATTGTACAAGATAGAACCACTAAAATGAACTTCTTATCTATTTAAAACCATTAATTTAAACCCTTGTACGGCGTGGTAGTATTTGAATTAAAACTAAAAAACCAAATTCACACTGACATGTCATGAATATCTCTGTAAAATTGGTAGCATATTTAACTATCAATCGATTTCCGGTATTTAAGAATTCTCGAGAAAAATCGACTTTTACTCGTACTCGATCTTGCGAGTATATGTTTTGGCCTATTCTTATACCCTCCACAATACTATGGAGGGTATATTAAGTTTGTCATTCCGTTTGTAACGCCTCGACATAGCATTTAAGACACATCAAAGTATATATAATCTCTATCAGCAGAGAATCTGTCCGTATTTGGAAATCAGTCTAGCTTCCGAACGAAATGAAGTAGGGGGACAAAATTTTACTAAAATTTATTTTAGCTCTGCAGGATTTTTGGCACTGGACATTAAAGTGTTTCTGTCAAAGTCTTAAACCGAATATGATGTGAATTGGGAATTTGTGTTTCTAGTATGACAAGGTATCCTTCAGGAAAATTCTATATAGGTCCTAATTTTGGTATATACTCCATATAATTAATGCCTAGTTATTCGGGTTTTCTGATAATTTGTCTCACACTTTTCATCGGATTTGTTTCATATTTAGTATTTGGAGTTCGTAATGGGTACTACCCCCTATAACAGAACCTATACCATCCGATATACGATACTTTTTCCATACCTAGAAAACAAAAAATTCTCTCTTCTTCTATAGATTTAAAGCTTCAGGAGAACTGTTATATGTGAAGGTCCTTCTAGATAGGTAGAAAATTTACCAGGTGTTTTATATAGATAATTAAAGTCAAAAGACATTAAAGAGGTATTTTTCATATGGTAGACCTAAGAAAGACCCTTGTAGATCGAAGGGACGTATTTTTCTTCCCGTCGTATTTTTTGACAGAATAGAAGAAAGTATTTAATTTATAAATAAAAAACAGAAAGTAAATTTTTAGTACTATTTCAATTTTTTAATTTTCCATTCCTGTACTCATATTTTGAGTAACCGACAAAAATCTGTAAAATTGAATAGTTTATAATTACGGTAATTGACGAACATTTTTGGCAAGTAAGCGACCGAAACAAAAAATAATCGCTAAGTCCTTCAGTCTCCTTATTCATAATTTTGCATATTATTTTAGTTACATCTTTTGGTAACTCAAAAAATTATTAAAAGAATCCCGCTACTGGTGTCACCTCATATTTTCTTGTTTTTCAAATCCTGCGAGAGAGAAGGAAATATACGATAAACAAATTCGAGGCAAATACTTTGTTTGCTGGGTTTATGCGACGCTATATGCTTTTGCCATTTGTCTATATATCTGTAATTACCCATTTATAATTGGATGTTATTTGTAATGTCCAATGATTTATTGTTAATTTGAAATTTCTGTACAGACTAGACACATGACAACAATAAACGGCAGTGCCTTTTCGATAGTAGGAATTTTTATACAGACCAATGTTGATAAGTTAAGGATACCTTTAAAAAATCCTAATAATTTAGAAAAGCAATGTGGCATACTAAAATACGATATTAAACCATATTCAAAACATTTGTAAAAAAATGAGAAAATTTTTGGACACATTGGCATCAATATTGGGGAGGAATCGAAGATAACGACCTATTGTAATCCTGTTATCCTGACCACGCCTATCAGGAAAAGTGAATACCGTTTGCAAAAATGGCAATGACAGAATTCAGTAGAAA